ATATATACAAAACATGTTATATGTTTTCCTGTAAAAGAATAATTCATTCCTCAAAAACATGGTTTTAGGCAGTTCACATCTACTTCTCCCTCTCCAAAAAGTTAGCATTAGGATTCCTTTTTGATCAATAATCTAACCTCAAAAGCACTAGTTGTTTCAAAAATTCTGTTCCAATATTTTAAATCGGGCGCAAGAACATCAGACATCAAAGTACTATTGGGCAAAATACCATTTCAAAGTGCCTTACATTTCTTGTACCTCACTGTTGTTTTACAAAGCTATTAATCACAGAGAGAATCACAACCCTAACATTGAAAACAAGAGGCAGAAACATTTAAAACTCCACTAAGAAATTCCTCTGAGATTCCAATAGTAAATCTAGGATACTGAGTATAGGAAAGACAAGATTTAATTATTTGAGAAAATCACTGCTTCATTCCCTGTCTTAAGCTTGTCTCTCATACATCTCAAATCCCCTGTGAAGCTGCCTGCAGGTAATGCTGTCACAGCACATCCACTTTTCTATCATGCTTACTCCACACCATAGATCAAGATTGATAAGCTCCTAGAACAGCAGTTAAGATATCTGTAGACCACAATGATAGGAGTTCAAATGATTTGCAGATTAGAAGAAGTTGCCTACCAGGGCATGTTTACAGCACCTATTGCTACGTACTCCTTTACAACACAGGTGTATCTACTATTTCAAGTCCACCTCAGCCACTCAGGAGAACACTGCACTGGTGTCTTGCTAGCGGTCCACGGCCTGGGTCTATCTGGGACCCATCACCTGAATCACCTTTCTGACCTCTTCCTAGCCATTTCAGACACAGACAGCAAAAACAGTTTTAAAATGTATTAGCCCAGTTCATTCTGACCAAGACAGCAAGCACCTGAGCCAAAAGGAGGTAGCTCGTCTGTGACTGATTCGTCTTCTTGTGGAAGAGACAGCCATTCCCATCACTGGTGATAATGCAATTTTAGTCTTTTCTTCTGTTCCTGCTTCAAAACTACTTTAGAAGTAGTACTGGGTTTTGTTTTGTTTTTTAAAGTGTAATGAGCCCTACATTTTCCTGGCTGAATGGACCTGTCTAGACTGCGAAGTACGCAGAAGGAAATGGAAACGCTGGACACAAAGCAGCGGTTTTACGGATATAACCAGTTTCTACCCCAAAGTCCTGGTTTGGTACTCTCCCTTTCTGCTACAACTAAAACATGTACCAAGTTCCATAGGAGCTGCTATGAAGAAAATTAACTCTGTCCCAGACAAAGTCAGTATAGTGTGGCTTTAAGTACTGCTTTGACCATAACATTTATAAATTCACTCTGAAGGTAAGAAATACTAATCTAGAGCCACACGCCCTTTTAAAAAGCAACTGCAGTTTGTATTTAACTTTATTTTACATTTGCCAGTTATCTGCCTGATTTCAGAACAAAGATCTGCTTGATTTTCTGTCTATAAATTCTCTGAACAAATGTATTTCCCAGCAAGCACCCTCTCTCAAGAAAAATAGGGTTTAGTTATATGAACTAATGAGAACTTTTTTTTTTACCCCTAAGATGTAACTGCATTGGCCCAATTTCAATTCTTTAGCTATTCTTTGCCTCCCATACTCCCAGCTTAGTGTTTTAATCTCTCCTTGCCCCAAAGAGTCAAAAGCACATTAAAAAGGGAAAACTGACCATAGAAACGAATAATATAACTGTTTGGTCAGATAAATGCTGATACTTCTTTAGCAGCTATTGGTCTCAACCAACGACTCCATACTTTAAACTGCTTTAGTGTTTATTCTGAACCTCAAGTAACTTCTAAAAGCCAAGTCTTCAGAAAAATAAATAAATAAATAAATAAATAATTAGCAGCCTCCCATAAGTACCCTTTGGTTTTAACACACAACACTGTGAGTCATGAGACAGATCCCATTTTCATTTTTGTTACAAGCTTCCTGCATGCATCACTAATACTTCTTACTGATCACAAAACACCTTAGTGTTTGAATACAGGGGTTTTGCAAATGAGATTTTAACTTTCCAGGAAATGGAGAAGGGTTTAAAACTTAAGAATTACTAGCATAAGTTCTCCACTAAGGATGCTCACTCATACAACCCATTCACCCTTGCAAATCCAGCTTTGTATTTACTACAGCAATTAACAAACACTGCAAAAGTAAACTGGCATCCTGATTCTTTCAAAGGCCTATATGAGGATAAAGAGGAAGTATGACCTATCTATAAGCCTCAGATAACGAGGAGAAATTATTAGAAAGGTTTATCAATGTCCTGATGTGACTTCAGCCTCCACCCTCAGGAGAAACATTTATGAGATATGGGGAGATTAGTTTTCTATTTAATCACATCTCTAGAAATAAGGGTGCATATTATGAACATTTCTTTTCCAAGCTTCTAAGCTAATATCAACACAGCAATAAACAACATCGCTATATACATATTTCATGAACTTCAAACTATGTTATGATAATCAGTTTAGCAAATTAGTACCTTAGAGATGTTTATGTACAAGAAAGCAGTGTGCCATGTTAGAGATCAGTTCCCAGAGGATAATTTCCAAGGTATCAGAAGAGGGAGGAGGATAAATATATGCATGAAAAGCAATCACCACTTACAATGGGGATAATTTTACTCTCTTCACTTTACTGCTTTGTCCAAAACCTTCACATGACCCATACCAGTAGTGTGTTTGCCTTAACTGGATGGAACCTATGTTGAATGGTTTAATTAACATGAATTTCTTCACATTCTAAAGAAATTTTACAGTCCTGATCCTTCAATGAAACATCTGTGCTGAGGTAAGAACTGGCAGGTCACTATTCTAGCAGTACAAAAGCTAAAAAAAAATAGAGCATATTCTGTTCCAACATCCTCAGCAAGGACTTCCCACTTGGAAGTGGAGATCAGCTCAATGGCTTGGATACTGGAACAGCTTCAGAAGAGGAAAGCACACATACACAATGGGCTGCTTGCTCCCCAGAGAACAGAGAGGCCCACGTTTCATCCTGGATGTCACTCAACTCCTTCCTGCAAGTAATACCCATAACTTCTCTTGTTCCACTGTCCATCTGACAGCAGCATCAGCTCCATCTGTAGTCAAGGACAGCTATTTCTTGATCAGGACACACAGACAGCAAAGAAACCACAGCTTACTAAATGCACAGCCGTTCTTGCACTTCACTAGCTTTAATGAAGGACTCCAGTGCTCCCACAGTAAAATGAGTAACTGATACTAAAAAATGTCTCTAACCTACCTTTAGGATTCAGCATGGTTCTGAACCGCGTCTCCTGTGCCCACTCCCCTCTTTCTTCACAACAAAGTAGAAGGGATACAAAGGGTGTAATTGGCAGATCATCTCCACCAGCCCGGAGGGGGCAGCAGCAGTACCGCAGTACTGTGCCTGTCCCTGCACTGAACCGATGGATGCCCGGAGAGGGTGGGCAGCCTCTCTGACCCGCAAAGGAGGCAACTCACCAGTTCTACAGCAGTTGTACAGCACTGCTGAAAAACCAATATAAATAAATCCCACCCTTAACCACAAAAGGGCCGGGGCGGGGAGGGGGAAATTGTACAGTGAAGCAATTCCCAGGCAACTGAGAGTACTGAAGCAGGTGGCTACAGCCAAGCATACCGTCCTCCCCCGTGATGAACCTGCAGGGCTGATTAACTGCCAGCACTCCCTGGCACAGCTCTGCCCCTCTTCTGCTGTATCCTAACTGCCTCTGACCGCTCCAGCACACAGTCCTTCCACCAGCAATGGCAGGGCTCCTCTCTGACAGCACCAGCACGCAAAAATCAGCACCTCCTCCTAGTCTTTAGGGCTATTTAATTCACCACCTTCTCTAGGAGAACTAAAACTGTCATTCAAACACCGTTATGACCAAAGAGAGAGCAGAAGCACATATATACATTTAAGGTCTGATACAAACTGGCATACATTACATTTCTACAAATGAGTAGCTTCAATGGAACTGCAAGCATGAACATAACAAATAACTGTATTTTTAAACTCCTCTACTGAAATAGCTGTCAAATGCCAAATACACCTGTAAACAGGTTTGCTTACCTTCCGATAAATCATATGACACATAGCTACCCTCAGCTTCATGCCAGCCCGCTGTACATGATAGAAGTATAAGTGGTGCATTATAGCTAGAATAAGTGTGCACACAGATAGAGCAGCTGCGTAGCAATATGCAAAATTCAAAGCTACCTCATCTGAGGGATCATAGTTTTCAAAATAATTAATAATTTTTCCCAAAAATATTGGCTGAATTATTTTGAGGGTTTCCTGAAAGAAAAAGAAGGGAAAAAAAGTATTAACGATTTGGTATCATACCATGCTACCCAAGTTTGTAACCGGGCAAACAAGAGCCAAGTGTTGCCACAAGTCACATGCCGTATTGTTGTCTCTATTGTGCTCAAAAATGCCAATTTTTATCAACACAAAATTCAAAAGAACTATGTTCAAATTTAGCTGATTCTTTAAAAAGAACTCTCAATTACCAACAAAAACTTTGATGTTATAAAAATGAGTATGTACTAACACTGATGACAGTGTGTCCTTTACAGCCATTTACACATAGCAAGAAAAACCCTTTTCTATTTGGCACCCCACTCAGATACATAGAACGCTGCTAAGCCTTACAATGCAAGTCAAGGGCTTGTAACGTCTCAAAAATATTGCACTAAAATCAGCTCTTTGTTCCACATCCATAATCCTCCAGTTGTGACTCAATTTTTCATTCTCTACAGAGCTAAGGCTCTTTTTCACTTTTCTGAGAGTAAGAGTTTTACTTTCCTAAGAGAGTACGTGAACATTACAGGTTCTCTGAACAGCCCAGCATGAAGTCACCAGGATGTAAGAGGCCACGTTTCACATTGCTGTTAGCTAAGAAGTGTGTTATATGACATTTTACCCCACTTACCTCAATCATTGTGAAAATTCCAAAAACTAAATAGGATTTCCAGTAACAAAGAATAATGGCTTTTGTTAAATGTGGCATTTTTCCTCTCTTTTTTGCTTTTTGCACCTCTTTATCCCAGTACCTGACAAACAAAATGCGAACATGATGGAGGACAGAAGTAAAACCACAAGACAATTACCTAGAATAAAATACTTTCAGATTTACTGAAGCCAGATTGCCATGATCACTTTAATACAACAACACAAAATTAACAGATAAGTCATGTTTCCTCATTCACATAAACATGCAGTACATAGTATTATAAGCCTATTAGCCCTTGTACAACCACAAACAATTCATCACTGTTGGCTACTATTGCCTTTGACATACTCGCTGGTGAGGAACCCCTTTTTCTCTTCTCCTCCCAGTTCTGACAGCCACTTAGATTAGTTAAGAGCCTATTACCATATGATCTCCTGACTATGGACTAAACTGAGTTAGCACAGACTGTCTTTACTGTCCTATAAGCACCGCACTTCCCCAGGGAGGCTGCAATGCACAACCCTTTCTCATGCCTGGATCTTTCTTTTTTCTACCACGTGCTTCGATGATGATAAGCAGATCTGGCACAAGAGCAAAGGGAACTGTCTGCAGCAGTTTTGTCACCTAACACTTCACATGTCTCTCTGAAGGCAAGGATTACAGCAGCAGAGTGGCAAAGACCTTTGCATTACCACATGTCTGCCCACAAGGAGGACACAATCTGTTCACATTAAAATCAAAGACAGTAACAAGCAGCACAATTTTAACAAGGAAGTATCAGAACTCAAGCAGACTTCTTAAAGCATGCTGCTGTCAGACAGGATACTCCCCCTTGCTTCTGGAGGCTAAATATTTCTTGCCAGACCCTCCGACCTTGTTAGTTTGAGAGCTGAAATAAGTCTAAGGCGTGAAAGCCAAATTATTTTCCAACACAGCACACAAGTTTGAAGCATACAGTATGAATAAGAAAACTTCTTTTTTTTTTTTTAACCCTCTTGAAGGGTTACAGAGTTATTGTCTAAATGCTTCAGAGTCAAAATTGAAACTGTAGATTCTGTCGTGTTTGCCGGCCCAAGAGAAAAGGCTACTTCCTTAGGTGGCTATTTACAAATTATATTGTGTGCTTCTTGGCCAAGTACACTACAGACTTAAAAAACTTCCCTTTTTTTTTTTTTTTAATGGCATGCTGTATTTTCTACCATTTCCTGACTCATGGAAAGCGTGTGCTTTTGCTGTAAGAATTATTGGAAAGAGTCCATCTTCCTCCACAGCTAACTCCTTGAACTGCTTTAAGACACAGCCATGGAACTTGGCAAAGCTCTCCAGATACAGAAATGTTAACAGCTGCACTCCTGTGAGGTTATCACCTACCCTCTTTCTTCAGTTAACTCATCCAGAGCAGGATGATGCAAGACCTGTCATAACCTTTCATTCCCAGATTCTTTTTATTTCTTGAAGAGTCTCTCATCCCAGCCAAACTATCAGGGAAGTTGATTTGCTCTACCTTCAGTGTAACGGCAAGAAATAGCCAGGCCACAATTTCTTAATAAAGAGGCCACCTTTCACCAGGAGACACCATTTCCTCCAATTATATTTAACAAAAGATTATTTGAGGACAAAAACATTAGCTATTGCAAGGTTCAAGACAATCGACAAACTGTTATTCTTGGAAGATATTTCACTATTAAAAAAAGAGATAGATCCTCCTGTGTCCATAACAACATGACTTGGTACACAGTCCATGAAAGAGTAGTTATAACAAACTGAAAACACCTCCTAGACACAAGATTTTAGATGCCCAAGGCATTTTATCCACTTCACCAAAGGCTGGCGTATTTTCAACATACCTACATTTATATACACACACACATGAAGGGTACACAGCTGTCACTTAATTCAGTTTGTGCTCAAAACCGAAAAACCCTAACATTTTTCCCTACTTTCATACAGAGAAATATTAAAAGTTTCCACAGCTATTCTACCCATGGACAAAAGGCTCAGATTAATTTATTAAGGATTACCGCAGTAACAGTTGATGAAAAGTCTTCTTTTCCAAGCATTCTGCAAACTGTCAAATTAATTATAAATGACATAATGGAAAGACTATTGCATTTTCATGATGTATAACTTGAAAAAAACATTAAAATGCTTCCATGGTAAACAAGTTCTAAAAACTGCCCTTAGTTATTCAGCATTTTTAACAGCAGACCTTGTTAAACTTTACAACCTCTTTTAATTCTAGTACAGAAATAAAACTCTTGCTTTCCCCAACAGAAATTCAATGAAAGAGAACAATCATTCTTATCCTTACCACTGCAATTCTTCTCCAAGCTTCTCTGAGGAGTCTTCTGGCAGCACTTTATACATATCATCTTCTTCGAGCTTCCGTTTATGGCCAATAATAAATATGGGATTCAACCACCTATTTAAATACAAATTATTAATAAACTAATCAGAAAACCAAAAGAGTAATTTGTTTACATATTAATTCTTTTATCCCTTTCCTGCCTTCTCTTCTCCAGCATCACTCAACATCCACGCATTTTACTGCACTTTTCTCTTACCTAAGAATTAAGTCACCTCCCTTTCACAAATGGGAAAATATTTCCCATTTCCTAAAGCTATTTATGCCCCATAGCACCCTACGCAACAGCCAATACAACTCTTCTTGGCCTTAAGGCAACTGTTTCCTTACAGTGTTTCCTTACGTTTAAGGAAAATTAGCATTCCTTTATATATTTAGGAAAAAAAACAGAACCTAATCCAACCATTAAAATATTGACAGAGTTGTAAATAAAATCACAATATATATTAAAAGACTTTTTTTGTATCTAGCATGACTCTTCATTTACATGAGGAAAAAACTAACTGCTGTTCAACTGCCATCTTGACAAATATTAAATGTCAGCACTCTGAAAACAAATTGTAATGGTGCTACTGTAGATTTGTTGGAAAATGCAGTATTTTGTTAGATCAACTAATACTGTCAGGGAACAGTAAGACTAGCTTTTATGCACCTAGATCCTTCTTCAATACTGAAACACAGGTCAAGAAGATCCAAACAGTTTCAGTTGCGCTCCACAGAGCAGACGGGTGCATGGCAGAAAGCACAGAAGTGCCCAAGCTGTTCATGAGATGGAGCAAAGGAGAATGACACCTCCCAAAGGATCAACTTGTGAGGGAACTTGCAGTTTGCCCCTTAGTTGTCTCTCTGCTGAATCCATGACAGCTGGTTTCCAGGAGAAATGCGGATTTTGGGTCTCAGGCCTGTTTACTACAAGTATTTTCTCAGGTGGTCAACATGATTAGAACCTAGAGGTCAGGAACGGACCTGTTTTGGAAAACATATTCTTGCACTCACTGCAAGGTTTTGTGCAATTACAGTTGCCTGTGAAAGTTCCTAACTGCTGTTTAGTATCTGATGCTTAATTATCCCCTGACTTCATCAACATAGTTTTTAAAAGAGCACCTGGTGCAGTAGGTGAAGTGCATTATCCTCTGGAAGGACTACCTGTGAGAATTCAAAACTGGGATGGTTTACAATGAGGACATTTCTTTATTCGCAACCACAACAGTGGTTATGAATACTCATCAACTAGCTTTGCATTTCTTGCTTGGGCATGTTCCGACTACATTTTGTATACACCGGCTTATAAGAAGTTTGTTGATTAGTTTTGGGGTGGAGGGGCAGGCTGAACCCCAGAAGAGAGGGCTCAGAGAGTTTCTTTGAAGATAGAACAGTTGCAAAAACCTTTCTCACAATCTCCATGGCATAACTGCATATAACAAATGGGATTTAATAGTGTTTTTCCTTCACTGCTTAGCATGTTAGCACAGTGTTTGTGTGACTCATTCAAAGATTAAGTGTCTATCCTTAGAGTAGCATCTTTGATGCCTAACAGCCCTTTTTAAACTCTTGGAGTGAGTACTAAAGATTTGTATATGTGAGCTGTTAAATCCTAAATGTATGTTAAAGGTACAATTAGAAACAGCAAGTACTTGTCAGACAAGTCTGTTGCTTGGACTGTATGGTCAAATAGCATCAGGGCCCACATCACTGCCACAACTTCCCTACAAGTCCTGACAAAGTGTCTCAAAGATCAATTGCTCCAACCAGCAGAGCTTCTGCCTGGTTTGACACAATGACTCTGCCCCACTGAAATACTTCTTCAAGCCACAGTTCTGGAAGCCAACCACAGGTAAAAACTAGACATAAACCTCAAAGCCATTCAAGCAATTTCTGCCTGCTGGACAAGACAGGCCGTATGTGCTCCAGGACAGACAGTTATGGGGAAGATCTGCAGACTTCAGTCTTCGACTCATGTGGCTGATACCAAGTGTTCCTCCTCTTGCAACATCAGTATTAGCCTAACGAGTTACTCCATAAACAAGTCACATCTGTCTGAAAGAGAAGCATAGAGAACAAGCTCTCTTCCCAACAACTTTACCATGAGAATCAGGATGAGGCAGCCCCTCGAGAAAAATAAAGGCATAAATCCTTCTCACATCTATAGAAATGGTTACAGGTTCCACCAGCTACTGTTGCCAAGGTGGTGAAAACAATAATCTTTCTGACATTTAACAAGGAGCATAAGTAAGATATTTATTAGAGAATCACAAAATGGCTGGGATTGGTTAGAAGGAACCTCTCTAAGTCATGTGGGCCAACCTCCCTGCTCAAGCAGGGCCACCTAGAGCTGGTTGCCCAGGACCATGTCCAGGCAGCTTTTCAATATGACCAAGGATGGGGGCTCCACAACCTCCCTTGGCAACCTGTGCCAGTGCTCAGTCACGCTCACAGGGAATAAGTGTTTCCTGATGTTCAGAGGGAACCTCCTGTGTTTCAGCTTGTACCCACTGCCTCCTGACCTGACACTGGGCACTACTGAAAAGAGCTTGCCTCTGCCCACCTTGCACCCTCCCTTCAGGTATTTATATACATCAGTGGGATCCCTTGGACCCTCCTCTTCTCCAGGCTGAACAGTCACAGTTCTCTCAGCCTTTCCTCATAAGAGAGATGCTCTAGTCCCTGCATCATCCTTTGACTCTCTCCAGCATGTCCATGTGTTTCTTGTATGGGGGAGCCCAGAGCTCTGTGGCCTCACCAGTGCTGAACAGTGCTGTCCATTACTGGTATGTAGCAGAATGCACAGAGGAAAATAAAAGACATTTAAAAATGTATTTAAACATACACTTTTAAAAAACAAAACAACGCTCTTAATGTTACTGTGTAGAACACCATTCCTTTACTTTCACTTTTCAAGACATAGTAAAAACACCACAACTGAGCCACGGGAGGAACAATGCTTCTGTTGAGGGTGACTGCTCCTAATATCAGTTTTATACAGCACTGCAGCCAATAGCAGCAGAAAGTGTTGACCACAGCCATAGTGTAGTCCACATGCAAAGCAACTGGATGAAAGATAACGGAATGGTCTCAAGTCTACAGAATTCCTAGAATCATCTAACATATCCTTTGGCCTTGACTCTCAAAAAACATTACTGATTATATACCCACCTCCACTGAGTTCTTATGGTTTGTAGCAAATCCCTTCTGTCCCTTCATCTCCACACCAATCAAGCACTGTACATACCATGAGATTGATTTTCCAAATGAAGTAGTAGATGGAGATAATAGTGCAGGGTAAAAACTGCCAAGAATCTGAAGGTTTTCAGACTATTAGCTCCAGTGAGACCTAGTGCAAATTCAGAGCTTCTCACATTTTTCCATTAGTTTAATCCATAATTTTGAAAACAGTAATACACTGCACTATAACCCCTACGTTAACATTAAAGAAGGCAAGGAAAACCAATGTAGAGTATGCAGAAAACCACAGTCATTCATTTTGCGACTCATTTATTATAATGGACAACATGGCAAAGACTCAGCACAAGTTCACATGTTTCTGTAGGGTTAGGAAAAAAAATACATCATAAAAAGAACCAAGAATAATCACCCATTGTTGAGCTTTTTGACTACTCTCCCCAAAATACCCATCTTCAAGAGTACTACTACTGTGGAGGTCTTGAGAGTACAAAAGCTTTTAACAGCATGTTGTGTAGACTATACTTGAAGATCTTTAGAAGGTGGTTAAAAAATTTTCTTTTCAAATTACACTTAATCCTTGAAGAGCTTTTAGCCCAAGAATGAGGTCTTCTGTTTGTCTGTTGCAAATTCTTTGTACAGCAAGAGCAGTTCAAGTTTCACATCTCACTGATGCACCCTGCACTTCACTCTGGTAGGTCTCTTTCAGACAGATGACTTACCAAATGTTCATATTCAGTCATTAAAGTAAAAATTTCCACCAGGATGTGACAGGCAGATTACACCCAGTGGAATTCTCTGCACTTAAAGCAGAATTGAGACCAACCTATTTCACACAGCCTGCTCTTACTCAAGTCACACACTCCTAACAAGCAAACGAACCAAGCCCTTCTCTTGCCTGAAGGCTCAGTTAAATTAAAGAGTGCTGTAAGAAACTGTTAAAGGAAGCTGGCAAGTAAGGTAATGGCCTGCATAAAGAACATCCCTGAAACCTGAACTTAGCCATGAAGACTACTTGTTAGAGTGGTCTGCCTTTTGTCCAAACAGACATCAGCTAACACTGGTATCTTGAAAAGGGGAGTACAAAAAAGCCTGCAGAAAAAGTAGAATTTGTTATGAACACAGAAACCATGCAAGCTGCATTATTCTTTAATAAAAAAGCTAAAGATGTCCTGGAGAAACTGAGGGAATATATATGCAAACTACTCTTCTTATCCCACAGATGAACATAAAATAGACTCACTACCAATCTGTTGCCTGAATTAAAACTACATGGCGGAGAGGAAAGACTCACACCTCAGTTCCACATTTCTGTATTTCCCCCCAAAGAAGCTGTTCAACTTAAATAAATATAGGACCCCTTAGCCACTGTCTTCTCTTTTCCCACGTATTTTCCTGTTTGCTAAGAATTTTGCATGATTATTTGGTTCTTACACATCACCTCATTTTAG